GAAGCGAAATAAATATTGATTTAAAAGCTTCTTGTCCCGGTTGTATCGATGTTTTCTACGTGAACATTTTCTTGTATGATAAGCGATTTATGATACAAGAAAAATGGCACTTTCCCAGACAATGTGTCCAAAGTAAATGTCTTAAAAGACTCAATGAAACTAGAGCAGTGTTTCCCAACCCTTTTAGAAAGGCTTTTAGGTGTTTCCCACCTAAAAGCCTTTCTAAAATTCTTATACCCCCCTAATATATACAGCAGCTATACGGTTAATTAACTTAAACTCTAGACAAGTCCATTTTCGAATTTCCCCCCTGTGGGACCCCATGTTGGGAAACCCTATGTTGGGGTTTCTCAACCTCTAATGTATCGTCGCCCCCTTCAACAAAACCATTACGTAGTATCGCCCCCTTCACTTTAAAATTCTGATGCCGAGGGCCAAGGCTAATGCCAAATTCATATTGCATTGAATAAACTAGTGACTAGTATAATGTTATTTGTTTAATTATTGTATGATATAACAAATAAAATATCTAATTATTCTTAATATGTTTTACTATATCGCCCAGAAAATTGTTTTTCGCCCCCAAAATATAAATTGTTACTAATCGCCCTCTCAACATGGAAAAACGCCCACATGGGGGCAATATCGCCCCCGTTGAGAAACACTGGTGTAGATGGAAATGTCAATATTCTCAACTTGAGAGGAACGGTCCTGGAGCCATGGGTACTCCTGACTATTGCTAAGTTCGTAGGATTTACTTTCTGTCTTGTAGCGCTTCAGGTCTTCCTTTTCATTCTTGATGAAGAAACTAAAGAAGTCTTTGCAGCTGTTACAGGAGCTTGTTGAGTGGTTGCGGGCGTGCCACAGCCACATAGCCATCCTCGCCTTAATGTGCGTCGGCATGAGACCAGCAATCACCAGCAAGGCCGAAGTTGGAGCTGTGCGGTAGGCCCTACAGATACACAGGGCGGCGATCCGTTGAGCTTTTAGTTTTCGCTAAATATACACATTTTTTGTTGCTGAGGCCCAAATTGGTGTAGCGCATAAAAGGATAGGCTCGATAGCGCCAAGATAGATATGGTGCCTTGTAGCCAACATCCCAGGTGTTTTTGGCAATGCTCAAGAGAGCGTTTGAGTCTTCGAACGGATACACTCGATAAGTATTCCGACAATTTTTTGTTCATATTTTATATCGATCATTTCAAACAAATTATACGTGTTTTGGAAATATTCGGAGTGAAATTAATCTAGATTTGATTAATTTTATGGAAGAAAACCTCTCAAGTAGCCGTACCCCCTAAACAGCACAAGTGCCGTCTAACCAGTAACCAAATAACAGCACCAACGGCCTAATAAATCGGCCAGGACGCCGGCCGAAAGTTGGCCAACAACGGTCACGATAACGAATGATCTAAGAAACAAAAAATAACATTTTTTATATCAAACAAGACGGTATATAGAGCCGAAAACAACGGTGCATATAGCGAAAAAGTACGACAAGGAATAAACGAGATACATATGATCGTTTATCAACCACGTGGTCACGACCAAAAAGGGCCGCAATTCCCGAAAAATATACCGATTTTAAAAAAATAAAACGGTGTTTGAAAGCGCACGTGTTAAGCAGTAAAATAATATGTGAAACACTCACCAGTGACAAAAATTCGCAGAGAAAATGCTTTCGAAAATCAGAGCACATACGAAGCACACTCTGTCCCACGCCAGCTAGAGGCGAATCTCAATATTATACTACAAATGTTACATACCTTCGTTTCACCGTCGATGTAGAAACGTCTAAATTAAGCTCCATTCTATGAAGTAGAAGCTGTTTTAAACGGACTCGCCTCACTGCTGCTTCAGAGGTGAGCGTCCTCTTCCTCGGTTGTCTTTCTCGCACGGCCCGGCGCCTTTCCCGGCGACACAGAACCTGTGTCCCGGTGCAATCAGAGCCGGCCCTACCACAGGGCGAACAGAGCAGCCGCTCCAGCCGCTAAGTCCAGGCGGCCGGGTGGCCGAGCGGTCAAGGTGGCAGCCTACCGCTCTGGGGACCCGGGCTCGAATCCGAATGGGTCGAAAAATCCCCAGGAATTTTTCGGGGGGTGGTCCGTTCGGATATGTCGGACCCCGTCCCTCACCACCCGGCAGCCCCATTGTGGGCCTGGCCGAACTCATAATGGGCTTGCAAAAAGAGGCCCTCTTAGTGCCCACAGGGCGGAAAGAGTTAACCTTTTTATAGCCGTCCACAGCGGGCTAGATGATCGCTTAATTAACTCCTTTGAGACATTCCAGTTTTTGATATTAATGTACAGTCGATCCCCCTATAAGATCATTGATTTTTCCGATTTATCTGAATTACATGTTGTACGAGTCACTTAGATTTTACAAATACGTGTGCCGGGCTGTGAACGGCTCACATATTTGTAAAATCTAAGTGACTCGTACAACATGTAATTCAGATAAAACGGAAAAATCAATGATCTTATAGGGGGATCGACTGTACATTAATATCAAAAACTGGAATGTCTCAAAGGAGTTAATTAAGCGATCATCTAGCCCGCTGTGGACGGCTATAAAAAGGTTAACTCTTTCCGCCCTGTGGGCACTAAGAGGGCCTCTTTTTGCAAGCCCATTATGAGTTCGGCCAGGCCCACAATGGGGCTGCCGGGTGGTGAGGGACGGGGTCCGACATATCCGAACGGACCACCCCCCGAAAAATTCCTGGGGATTTTTCGACCCATTCGGATTCGAGCCCGGGTCCCCAGAGCGGTAGGCTGCCACCTTGACCGCTCGGCCACCCGGCCGCCTGGACTTAGCGGCTGGAGCGGCTGCTCTGTTCGCCCTGTGGTAGGGCCGGCTCTGATTGCACCGGGACACAGGTTCTGTGTCGCCGGGAAAGGCGCCGGGCCGTGCGAGAAAGACAACCGAGGAAGAGGACGCTCACCTCTGAAGCAGCAGTGAGGCGAGTCCGTTTAAAACAGCTTCTACTTCATAGAATGGAGCTTAATTTAGACGTTTCTACATCGACGGTGAAACGAAGGTATGTAACATTTGTAGTATAATATTGAGATTCGCCTCTAGCTGGCGTGGGACAGAGTGTGCTTCGTATGTGCTCTGATTTTCGAAAGCATTTTCTCTGCGAATTTTTGTCACTGGTGAGTGTTTCACATATTATTTTACTGCTTAACACGTGCGCTTTCAAACACCGTTTTATTTTTTTAAAATCGGTATATTTTTCGGGAATTGCGGCCCTTTTTGGTCGCGACCACGTGGTTGATAAACGATCATATGTATCTCGTTTATTCCTTGTCGTACTTTTTCGCTATATGCACCGTTGTTTTCGGCTCTATATACCGTCTTGTTTGATATAAAAAATGTTATTTTTTGTTTCTTAGATCATTCGTTATCGTGACCGTTGTTGGCCAACTTTCGGCCGGCGTCCTGGCCGATTTATTAGGCCGTTGGTGCTGTTATTTGGTTACTGGTTAGACGGCACTTGTGCTGTTTAGGGGGTACGGCTACTTGAGAGGTTTTCTTCCATAAAATTAATCAAATCTAGATTAATTTCACTCCGAATATTTCCAAAACACGTATAATTTGTTTGAAATGATCGATATAAAATATGAACAAAAAATTGTCGGAATACTTATCGAGTGTATCCGTTCGAAGACTCAAACGCTCTCTTGAGCATTGCCAAAAACACCTGGGATGTTGGCTACAAGGCACCATATCTATCTTGGCGCTATCGAGCCTATCCTTTTATGCGCTACACCAATTTGGGCCTCAGCAACAAAAAATGTGTATATTTAGCGAAAACTAAAAGCTCAACGGATCGCCGCCCTGTGTATCTGTAGGGCCTACTGCACAGCTCCAACTTCGGCCTTGCTGGTGATTGCTGGTCTCATGCCGACGCACATTAAGGCGAGGATGGCTATGTGGCTGTGGCACGCCCGCAACCACTCAACAAGCTCCTGTAACAGCTGCAAAGACTTCTTTAGTTTCTTCATCAAGAATGAAAAGGAAGACCTGAAGCGCTACAAGACAGAAAGTAAATCCTACGAACTTAGCAATAGTCAGGAGTACCCATGGCTCCAGGACCGTTCCTCTCAAGTTGAGAATATTGACATTTCCATCTACACCAGTGTTTCTCAACGGGGGCGATATTGCCCCCATGTGGGCGTTTTTCCATGTTGAGAGGGCGATTAGTAACAATTTATATTTTGGGGGGCAAAAAACGGTCTTCGTTCATCACCGTTAACGCACATACCTGCTTCTTGTATGTATTGTTTTTCACTTATTGTAATACCACAGTTACACTATATATCCACTATATAGCCNCTTGTTTTATTTATTTTTTACTTCACATCCTAACTCTTTAATTTAAAAAAATATTGGCTATGACATAGACCAAGTTTGGAAATAAGCGAAGAATTAATCATTCGGTACTTCATCTATAAACACAAACAATTAAAACTCAAGTTCATTATTGTTCATATCTTTATGATTAAAATTAAAGCTCTCTCTTTCAGCCTTTATTCTTACTTATCTTGAAATAGGCACGTGTTACTCTCAAATGAATGATCCTAAAGTTTTTAACGATCAATTATAACACCTGATATTAATGTGTTCTTCACTGTTATTTTAATGCTGTCCTTTATCAAATTTTACATTTAAGAACTACAATATCACAACATATTTTATAACACATAAACTTACATTTTATAAATATTAAATATATATTTCTCCTGATAAATTTTTCCATGTATTATTTAAAAATTTTAAGATAACACCGGTTATTGAAAATAACACGATTCGCCAACAAATATCGTCAATAATTTAAAAAAAATAAATCAAGAAATTATATAGTCACACCTAATAAAATACGTATTAGTAGCAAAGTAAATAATACTTAGTTCTTACACATTAAAGTAAAAATATCGGTTACATTAAGATTCATTACGTTAGCAAGTTAGAATAAACACTAATATACACAAAACACTTACTCTTTGAGCAACGTTACTTTTATTCCGCTAACGATACGAAATAATAAAAAATCACTAAAACAAAAAAGATTCTACGTTTCTGTTCGGTAAAAAGCTCACCGTGTCCATACTTAGGACTAAAAGTAGTCTTAACGTGAATTCGATTACGTAACTGAAATCAATCAAAATTAAAATCGATGATATATTACATCTTCATTGTCAAATACTCACACGGACTGTTAGCGGTTTATTAATACTATTATTTAGAACCATTAAGAAATAAATAAAAACCTCTTTCAGAATAAATCAAATTAGGCTTAACTGCAGCCACGTTAGATCAAGACTCGATTGCAGCGACTACACGTCCAAAGTAAATGTCTTAAAAGACTCAATGAAACTAGAGCAGTGTTTCCCAACCCTTTTAGAAAGGCTTTTAGGTGTTTCCCACCTAAAAGCCTTTCTAAAATTCTTATACCCCCCTAATATATACAGCAGCTATACGGTTAATTAACTTAAACTCTAGACAAGTCCATTTTCGAATTTCCCCCCTGTGGGACCCCATGTTGGGAAACCCTATGTTGGGGTTTCTCAACCTCTAATGTATCGTCGCCCCCTTCAACAAAACCATTACGTAGTATCGCCCCCTTCACTTTAAAATTCTGATGCCGAGGGCCAAGGCTAATGCCAAATTCGTATTGCATTGAATAAACTAGTGACTAGTATAATGTTATTTGTTTAATTATTGTATGATATAACAAATAAAATATCTAATTATTCTTAATATGTTTTACTATATCGCCCAGAAAATTGTTTTTCGCCCCCAAAATATAAATTGTTACTAATCGCCCTCTCAACATGGAAAAACGCCCACATGGGGGCAATATCGCCCCCGTTGAGAAACACTGGTGTAGATGGAAATGTCAATATTCTCAACTTGAGAGGAACGGTCCTGGAGCCATGGGTACTCCTGACTATTGCTAAGTTCGTAGGATTTACTTTCTGTCTTGTAGCGCTTCAGGTCTTCCTTTTCATTCTTGATGAAGAAACTAAAGAAGTCTTTGCAGCTGTTACAGGAGCTTGTTGAGTGGTTGCGGGCGTGCCACAGCCACATAGCCATCCTCGCCTTAATGTGCGTCGGCATGAGACCAGCAATCACCAGCAAGGCCGAAGTTGGAGCTGTGCAGTAGGCCCTACAGATANTATAACTTCAATTTTTTTTTTTTCTGAAATTTTTTATATGCGATATATATTGAATAAATATGTAAGAAAAATATAACTGTATATACATAATAAACATATAAGAAAAGTAACAGCATTAATATTGCTTTGCAACTTACATATTATTATCTTACAAGATGGCGAGTTCTAAGTCCGAGTGTTATGGAGGATTTCAAGCACTTTTCCGAAGCAAAGACCCTGATGCACTGTGGATCCATCGCGTTGTTCACAGGAAGCACTCCCATCAAAATATCCGAGTCCTACATTAAACCGGGCCTTAGAATATGTAGTCAATGTAGTAAATTTTATAAAAACTCGGCCGTTGAAGTCAAGATTTTTCAAAAAACTATGTGAGAATATGAGATCCGAGCACACGTCTTTCTTGTAGTACAGCACTTCGCGCTGGCTCTTTCGAGATAATGTTTTGTCTCGTACGTTTGAACTGCGACTGGAAATTTATATTTTTCTCAAAGAGGAAGACCACAAGTATGCCGAAAACCTTGTGAATGAAGAATTTTTGGTAAACTAGCTTACTTGTATGATATTTTTGAAAAGCTGAATGTTCTGAATCTCTTCCTGCAGAGAAGCAACATGCACCTTTTAAAGTCGATTGAGAAAATTTCAGTTTTTATAAAAAAAAAATTAAAACTGTGGAAAAGAAAAATAAACGAAGACGAAGGAAAAGAATGTTTTCCTTTGTTGCAACAGTTTTTAACCTAATGGAGTTGGTTTCTCTCGAGGTATGAAATCTATTTTTGAAGAATATTTATCACAGCTTATCACCTGTTTTGAAAAATATTTTCAACATGATAATATCGATAAATTTGCATGGATACAAGATCCATTTAATGACAGTACCCCATCTGAATTTACTGCTGCAGAAGAAGAGAATCATATTGAGTTGTCATGCAACAATATGTTGAAAACAAAATTTAGCAGCATGGAATTAACTGAATGTTAGATATCAGTAAAAGATGAACATCCCTTCTAAATGGTAAAGCTCAGAAAATCTTAATTCCATTTGCAACTTCTTATTTGTGCGAAGCTGAGTCTGTCGCTGTGATAAAAACTAGGCATTGCACGAAAATCAACGTGGAGAAGGAAATGAGGGTGGCTGTGTCCAGTTTGATTCCAAGATTTGAGAAAATGTGCACTGATCAATATGCTCATCCACCCCACTAGTTATAATTAATTGAATTTGTTCAATTACAGTTTTTTGTTATCTTAAATACTTGTTTTATTTATTTTTTACTTCATGTCCTAACTCTTTAATTTAAAAAAATATTGGCTATTTCGCAAATTGTACTTATTAGAATTTGGCATAGGACGCCTTAGGAAAATCTGGATTTAGCAAGGGCGCCGAGAATCAAAAAAGTTTGGGAACCACTGCTCTAGAAGAAGCACGTAATTGCATTATAGAGTCGATATAGAAATGGCCAGGCGAATCTAGTTGGATGTTTTATCTGAGACTAAATCGCAATACAACGGTTAACAATCTTAAATTGATGATACATTGATCATCGCAAATGATTTTACTAACAAAGAGACGGCATGGCGTTAGGGTCACCGATTTTGTTTAAACTCGGTGAGGTTATAGTGCATCCCCAATGACTGATACGTGCCAAGCAGTAAGATGCAATACTCAAAATTGAGGTCGAAAATTGTAAATTGTTTAAAACCTTTAGAATTTCCGTTATTTGTAGAGTTGTGGGTTAATCGGTGGGGGCTCCCCAGTTTCGTAATTGTGAGGTTGGTGTTTCAAATCTTATTGGTTTAATGTGATTTATTTTAAATACAAAATTATAATTTTTACTTTTTGATAAACATGTTGTTATGTTGTGCTTATCACAAAGTAACGAAGAGATCAAATCGGGGTAAGTGGAGTATCCGGGTTTCGTGGAAGTCGATATTTTCTTCAGAACCCCGGAGAATAAGTATGAAAAATTTGGCGTTTGGTTGGAAAGATTGATCAAAAATCGTAGAACAGAGAGAGACAAACATTACTGTATATATCAGGTTGTAAAGGTAAAATTGAGACATTTCGATTTTTTTTTTCCTGTAAACGACTAGAGAAAAATATTAAAATGTTCGATGTATGTATAAGTGATCAAATAAGAATATAAGTGATCAAATAAGAATACAAGAAAAATATTAAAATGTTCGATGTATGTATAAGTGATCGAAAGGCGTCTCATCACGTATTGCATTAAATACAGAGACATCAGCAATGTCTTACAATATGAAATTTTCGAAAGAATATATTCACATGCTATATCTCTATCGCTATGAAAGTGGCCACAACACAACGAAGGTTCACGATTTCATCTGCAAATCATTTGTTAAAACGTTCGCGGGTGAACAAAGGTAAACCAGCAGTTGCAAATGTCAAAGTGCCTATAGTTCTTCCGCACTATCGGCACTTTGATCTGCATTTGTTTGGTGTCATTCATGATTGAGCTGCTTCAACCAACGTAACTATCACGAAATAACTCTAAACCAGTACTGCTCTAAACAACTAGACTATTTGAATACCAAGATCAAAGAACTGCATCCAAAAGTTTACAAAGTCCAATACCGCCACGACAATGTGCCAACACATCAGAGCAAAGGTGACCTCAGAGACTATGGCTAGTATGGGCTGAGATGTTTTGTTTCATACACCTCACAACTCAGACTTCGTGCCAACTGACTACCATCTATTTCGCGCCCTGCAGAACCATATTATTGATATACAATTCACTGACAGTATTCGACGTTGGAGACTTTCTTTAAAATATTTTTCTATAAAAGTAATAAATTTTGTTGAGTCTGCAAGTTGATGGAATATTTTCGTAACGTTTTTTGCAAATTTTTTCTGTGCGCTCGTCATATGGTTTATACCAGAGGTCCCCAACCTTTTTATCGCCGCCGACCGGTCAACGTTTGATATTTTACCGCGGCCCACTGAGGAGGGACGTTGATTGTTTATATTTTAGATTGATTTAATTTAATAATTTTAATTTAATTGTATTTAAACATGCCTTCAAAATAAAATACAGTTACACCAAAAAATGAATATAATGTGATTTAACATTTTAACACACTAGAACGCTAAATCAATGAGAACCTTGAGCTTGTTTTTTTGCAACAAGACGGATCCATCCGGGGTAATAGGAGACAATGACACCCGAAGTGTTTCTTATGTCCAGTTTATTCCGTTGTTCCGTCGTCCATTAAAAGTCGCACAAAGCCGAGAGAAATACACCATAGTAAATAAAATGGAAATACCAGTAATTTAATGTTCCTTGGACGGCCCGGTACCATTTGATCCACGGTCCGCGGGTTGGGGACCACTGGTTTATACTATACATCATATTATTCTAAGTACATTTCGTTTAGAAACTTTAATTCGAATGGCGAGATTTTTTCATTAAACATGTAACTGATTAACAGTTTTAATGAAAAAATCTCAGTTTAAACTGTCAGCATTACATCAAAAACTACGATTATACGTTTAATTTATTCATTTTGTCTTCTTTCTAACAATGTAAAATACTCGTGAAATTCCTTTTTAATCGTATTTTATTGTGATTTGATTCAAAAACACAAAAATAAACATATTGTGGTGTTCAGAGTGAGAAGTACGCGATCCCGCGAGCGAAAAGGGTACAAAAAAAAAGGTCTCACGACACAAAGTATTATTTTCCTCACTGAACAGGTTCGTTTATTTGATCCCAACTTTACAATTTGTCGAATCTTACGCGTATACCGGTGCTCAATGGTACACATCGAAAACAGTTGTCTATTACTCACGCGACAAAAACCTGAAGAGGACCAAAATTACTTAATCTAACTTACACTAACTTTCACTAACTTATGACTAAAGAATATAGAATACAGAATATAGAGATAGACTAGGAAAGAAGTGGAAACACCCGGGTTTAGGTTCGGTGAGCCCTTGGTTGGAGAACACTTCGGACTAAGAGGCCTCCCCTCGATGATCTCTCTCTCTGATTCTGCACTTTTTGTTCTTAGGTCACTTCTTATTTTGTAGACCTTTCGTCTACAATCTTCGTCCTCCAGATTGGGTCGTCTTTTATCACCTCTCACTTGTAGACTTTCCGTCTGCAGTCCTTCCCTTTTCTTTTC